GATGATCAGGGGTCTGGAGACTGAGCCCTACAAGGAAAGGCTAAGGGCCTTGGGAATATTTAGTTTGGAGAAGAGGAGATTGAGGGGGTATATGATTGCTCTCTAAATATTTGAAAGGCTGTCATTTGGAGAAGGGCAAGGAGCTGTTCCAGTTGGCAGCAGAGGATAGGACCCGAAGCAACGGGTTTAAATTACATGCAGAAAGGATTTAGTTTGGAGAAGAGGAGATTGAGGGGGGACATGATTGCTCTCTTTAAATATTTGAAAGGCTGCCATTTGGAGGAGGACAAGGAGCTGTTCCAGTTGGCAGCAGAGGATAGGACCCGAAGCAACGGGTTTAAATTACATGCAGAAAGGTATTGGCTGGATATTTGGAAAAACTTTTTCATAGAGTGTTTCAAAGGTGGAATCAGCTGCCTAGAGAGGTGGTTAGCTCCCCTTCACTGACAGCTTTCAAGAAGAGGCTGGACAGATATTTGTCAGAAATGCTTTAGTCTGGTCCTGCATTGGGCAGGGGTTGGACTAGATGGTCTGTATGGCCCCTTCCAACTCTATGATTCTATAAACATGTAGATGATAGTAGTCTGGCAGACATTATGTACTTGGATTTTCAGAAGGCTTAGGACAACATCCTTCCCCAAGTCTCCCAAGAAATCTTTGTAGTCGTGTAATAAGAGGCTATGTCATCTTAAAGCTCAGTAACTAGTTAAAGAGCAGGAGGCAGTGGGTAAAAAATAATGAACAGTTTTCAAAGTGGAAAGGAGGACGTTCAGGGGTTTCCACAGGGGTTATACAGCCTTTAAAAGGGACTAGACATCTTCAGTGAGGATGCTAAAAAGACGCTACCATCAGATCAACTTAGATTAAAAATCCGAACATTACAACATGAGCTAAATTGTATATTAAATCAGGAAATCGCCAAGAAGATTTTATATACCAGACAGAATTTCTTTGAAAATTCAAACAAACCTACTCACTGGCTGGCATACAGGTTAAGATGTGAGGGGGGAAAGCGATATATAAGGATTCTTAGAAATGAACATGGGCTGCGGTCACACGCAACATTAGCCACGCAAGAGATACAGAAGACAAGCGGAGTTTCCGGTCGCGATCTCACCAGCACATCTGGGAAGCGTAGCGCTTCCGTGGCACAACTGAGGCTTCCTGCCGAAAAAGTGCAGCAAAAAACTAGTACCTTGGAGGTACTAGTTTCCAGAAACTGTGGGGCAAGGGCGGGCGTCTGATCGCGTTTCCGGTGGTATCCGGCGCCCGCCCATGTCCCCTTGCGGAAAAGGGTTTTTCCCCCCCATGTCTCCGTGGATGCGCACACGCACCCAACGGAGCATGCGCATTCGTAGTGTACACAAAAAAAGAAAACCAGTTCGCCGCGCCGCGCGCTTCTCCATTGCGCGCAGGCGTGTGTTGTGATCGGCACCTCTCCCTTGCCATGGAACCTCCACAGTACCTCCACAGAACCTCCACAGTAGGTCTGATCGCTTTACTGCATGTTAGTTTGCCCCGGGGCAAACAGCCACACTTCTCCTCTGCAGTTTCCTGCCCGTGTGGCAGGGGCCTCGGATAGGAAAAAAGTAGCCTATTTGATTTGAAAGAGATATCAGAAATGTTTTACGCAAAATTATATAAGAAACAGACCTTAGACCAAGGCGCCATTTAAAAGTATCTAAGGAACAACTTGAATATACAAAAATTGAATGATATTCAACAAAAGTTGCTTAACCAGAAATTTACAACTCATGAAATAGTGGAAGCTATTAGGAAGCAAAAGAGAAATAAAACCCCTGGTCCTAATGGGCTCCCGGCGGAATTTTATACTGCTTTTGAAGAGGAACTTATGGCTCCATTCAAACAGGTGATACAAGAGGTTCCTTATAGGAAAACACTTCCTGACTCATGGAATTCGGCCCTAATTTCTCTGATACACAAAAAAGACTCAGATGCAAAAGAAATTAAAAATTACCGCCCCATTTCTCTACTCAACGTAGATTACTCTCTGAGATAATTCACCGTGACCAAGCAGGTTTTCTACCACACAGGCAGGCTCGATACAATATGTGAACAATTATGAATGCCTTGGAATATGCAGAGGCTCATCCAGATAAGCAGTTGGCAATAGTGTTCTTAGATGCCGAGAAGGCTTTCAACAACATCACTTGGGATTTCATGATTGAACATCTAAAGGTCTCCCTATATGGAGAATTTTTTTTAATCTTATAGAAGCCATTTATACTACTCAAAAGGCTAGAATACTGATAAATGGGGACATGACATCTGAAATAAACATTTCCAAAGGTACGCAACAGGGATGTCCCCTTTCTCCCCTACTTTTTATATTTACCATAGAAATACTGTTGGAGAATATAAGAAACAATAAACTGATAGCAGGAATTAAAACCAAAGGTGAAGAGTATATAATTCAAGCATATGCAGACGATTTGGCGATTATATTACTGGACTCGTTGGACTCATTGGACAGACTGTCAGAACTGTTAAAGGAATTTCGCCTCTTGGCAGGCTTTAAGGTTAATGCGACTAAATCCCAGTTATTGACAAAAAAATTGTACCCCCCAACAGTGTTCCCTCTAAGCTGAGTTAGTGTGAGCTAGCTCACAGTTTTTTAGCCTCCACACCATTTTGTCTTCACTCAGGAAGGATGGCTCCAGAGCAAACTAATTTATGCAGCAGCCAAATCACTTGCTCACAACTTTAATGCCAGTGGCTCACAAAGTAGAATTTTTGCTCACAAGACTCCATACCTTAGAGGGAGCATTGCCCCCAACAAATTTTAGAACTGCAAGGAAAAAACGGTTTTTGTACCCAAAAAAAGATCAACTACCTAGGTATTTATATAACAAACAGGTTAATTCCCCTGTATCAAGATAATTACAACAAACTTTTGGTGCAAATTAAGAATGATCTAAATGGGGACAGTTGCAAATATCTTTGATGGGTAGAGTGGTGGTGATAAAAATGAATGTTCTGCCAAGGGTGCT